TGTTTGGAAATTCAATATTGAAACTGTTGATAAAAAGGATAAACAAAAATATTTTAAGGATTTTTCGTACAACGATTTTGGTTAACGCAATATGTCAGTTTAAGTCATATCAAAAATATCAAGAGAGTTTCAAAATTTTATTAACGATGTTACCGCTGTTTCGTGACATAACAGCATCGTTTATGTTTTACGTAGAACCTCCAACCTGTTGAATTCAATTTCAGTTTTAATTATACTAGAGAGAAAGCTGCTTATATTTAATAAGGCTTTATGTTTTTTATGTAAATGACTTTTATATTATATCAATGCGGTCCATTTTTGTTAAAGGAAAAAATTAAAAAACCAATTAACTCGGAATATGTTTAATTTTTTAAAGGTATAAGTCGGAATGTAAGTAATAAGCAAAGTAACAATTTAGTCATAAATAAAGTATAAGTCGTAAAATATCACTTTTATTCATTGCGGATAGAATTTACGCCTCACAGTGTTATGAGTAATAAAGCCATATTATTTTTGTACGAAGTTATGCTACGTTTAGAATTATTATATTATATTTTTATAGCGTTCATTCTTTACCGTTTTCTTTATTTATTTTCTTGAAATCACCTATTGTAATAAATATTATGGCGTTTTGTATGAAGTCTGTTAAAAGATATATTTTAGGAATGTTTTTCTTATATCCTAGTATCATTTGGAGTAATTTATATTTTGTTATTTAACCTAAATATTTGTATAATATTTTGTAGTCACTGTGAGCATTAACTGTAATACGTTATGTCAAAAATTATTTAAAAAAACGCAAACCAACACATCTAAATAAGTTTTCGCAGCACTATGAAGTTTTTAGAAATCATAGACACTTCATTAAAAAAAGTATAGGCACAGAAATAAAAAAAAAAATTAATTATTTTATACTAATAATACACGTACATAACATTACGAATATGATAGATATTTTCAATTATCTTTCACAAAGCAGTAGATTCTTATGTGATTATTTTTGATATCAAATTATTTTATATATCTCCAGTTCTTTTTTGATCTCAGTGTCTTTAATGTTAACAATAAACTGATATATATTTTCATACAAATAATATTTCGAAATCACGACGAAAAGAAATGATTCGAAAGGAGACTTAATATTGAACTGACTATCTATTTAATTGTTATGTCAGAACAAGAGAAGACATTTAAACAAAAAAAGAATCAGTCTGTTTGTATGATAAAATTGCTTTATTTTATTCTTTGATTCTGTATTTTTTATTTAATATAATTATTTGGAAATCAAACACAATTAATTATACTAATTGTAAGCTAAAAACAGTTTAATAACGGAGATTTAACATTCTTATATACACACATAACTATTAAAAAAATACTTGATCGGCAAAAATTTTTAAAATATGCTTATAACTATAAATAACAAAAAAATACATGTAAATCAAACTTTTCGTTCTTACGATTACTTAACGATACATATATGTATTACTGAAAAACATTTATTATGTTTTTTACATCTTTCGGCAACATAAAATACTAATTTAGATCTATAAAGCATATGAAATGGAGTGTCTGTCTGTTTGTTCCGGTTAATCTCTGTAATATCTGGACTAATAATAACAGGACTTTTATGAGCAGGTAGTTTTTGTTAGAAAGAATAACTAAGGCTAATGTTATTAAAAAAAATGTATTTTAGAAAAATAATGTCCGAGTACTGTCTAGTGCAGCGTGTCCGAGCAGCTGTCCTAGCTGTTGACGCGCATGCCACCACTGGACCGTCACATGGGGCGCCTTCTGCCTCTTCTGAAGAAGGACATTGGCTACCTTTTATCTCGATCCCGAATCTTGACCCCGAAATTAAGCGTTACGAGTATCACGCGCGAGTAGCAGGTGGGGCGTATAGGACGTTTAAAACATTTTTAGCTGTTTTTTAAGTTTTCAATGTCATATACTTATTATCTTTTCAATTAAAAAATTATACTGTAAGGCAACTAACCAGAAATAATGAGACATAATGGGAATACGGACAAATATAATTAAACAAAATACAAATAGTAGTTCAAATGCTTGACGTAATGGTTTTTTTACAGTAGACATTTAGCTATTCTTAAATGTATTACAAACATTAGAAACAGTTTTATATTTCCAACAATCATTTATATTCTGAATAAAAAACTACAATAAAAAACGAGCTTCTAGAATTTAGGATGACATCGATTTATCTCTGTCTTCATCTTGTAAAACCATTTATTTAGCTCGCATATCATGAGGGTGCATAAAATAACTGGGCCTCCGTTATATATATATAGGTATATTATCGTACATATATAGGGAAATTGGCTTTTATTATTACAACACAAGATAATATTATGGTACAGAAGAAATGTTAAAAATAATATCCTTTAAATATAATACATTTATTCCGCGGGTTCGTCATTCTTTCACAGACATTTTGTACTCTTACAGATATATAAAAAAATGCTTTTTTATTATTCAAAGTATACCTTAAAAAATATATTATTATCTGAGTTAATCGACAGGTTTTTATAAAAATTGATTAGGATTTTAATATAAATGCAACAGCACCTATAAATAATAAATGTTCATTAATTTATAATATGTTTTATAGACTAACAAAGTGTACTGAACCATTTTGTGTTAGTTTGAGTTGTCCCCTTGTTGATATTTGTACTTCATTATGATGTAAACAACTTACTACGTAAACTAGTTGAAGCTGAGTGCGGTCGTTTTTATCAGTGTAAATACAGCACTTTGAATTTAAGACAAATTATTTTGGTTTAATAGTTAGTAAGCTCTTAATGAAAAGACAAATAAATCTCTAATTTTACTTAATATCTGACTAAATATTTGTTGAGACCCTACGTCAATTAACTCTTAGATCGTAGCCCCCGTATGTTCAAATTTGGTTACGTAGAGAGAGGAGCTTAGACAGTGGAGGTGAGTGTTTAACGCGCGTTAGATAGGAGCTTCTTAAACCTACACCTGAGTCGCAAGTCCCAGGCTAGTGCCTCCTTTCCCTGAAGCTCCTCTCCCTGGAACGCACTGGACGCGGCGCCTATACGGTAAATCCTTAGAATCCTTAGAATATAGCAAAATTATCCTAGTGTTATAGTCCACTGTTCCTTGAAAGTGAAATAATAATGTAGATGATATGAATAGTATTTCCGGTAATCCAACAATATCGTCATCAGCCTATCGGAGCCCACTGCTGAGCAAAGGCCTCTTTCTCAAAATATGGAGAAGATTTGATCATTAATCACCACGCTTGCTCAAGACGGGTTGGTGATTTCAAACTTATAATTGTGGAATAAAAAGTCCAGGTTTCCTCACGATCTTTTCCTTCACCGCCTGTCAGTGGTGTCTAAATACTCTTAGAAAGTACATATGCCTCAGAAAAATCACATTGGTACTTGACAAGATCGAACCCGCGCGCCCTCGTGTACGAGAGGCGTGCCCTTTAACAGCTAGACCACCACTGACTTCCAACAATATATACATATATACACATATAGACATTATATATTTTAATAGTATACTGATTATCATGTCAAATAGCATAAGAAATTAGTCATAATTCATTCTAATTACACGTAAGTAAAACAAGAACTATTCAAAAAAACAAAGACGTTTTGTAATTTTTTCAAAATAGAAATAGCTCTTTATTTCAAAATAAACGTTTCTCTTCGCTGTAAAATATGTCATAACATCTTTTATCTCTTTGAAGATGATTTTTTTAATGTTCCTCCCCAATTTTAAAAGACTTTTATATATGAAATTACAGTTTTTATCTACCCATATAAAAGAAAGTCGCGTTAGTTACACTATTTATAACTCAAGAACGACTGTAAGGATATGGTTGAAATTTTATGGGAAGCTGGCTTAGAAGTAGGAGATGAATAAAGGATATTTAATGTTGTTTGATGGAACAAGAAATAACTTAATAAATTCCAATATCTGGTTATTTACGACCTCTAGGACGGAATACAGTTCGCCCGGTCAGCTATACATATACCTATTACTAATTCCGAAATGAACGCGGACGAAAAACTACTATTAAATAAAACTTAGATATATTATTTATTTTGATTTAATCTAAGTTTTCATTTTATTAAAATTCTCAACAACACTGGTAGTAATATTAGATGTCTTATTTTTAAATAGAATCTAAAGGCAATTTCTATTAATTTTGTAACAACACAATATAGTAGGAAAGTACGTTTGGACTAAGCCATTGGAAAAATCTAGTGTCTAAAGGAACAGTCTAATTGTATGTCTGACGTAAGTAGGAAGCCATATTGTAATAGAGACGATAAAATCTTTCCACGGTCTCATTAGATATTCTTGGAAAGTTCAAAATACAGTTATACAATATAATTTTTTCTGCATTCAATCTAATGAAAGTCTAATTTTCTAGGTAGGAATTAATAAATGGCACCTATAGAACATACTTGTTAATAAATTTACTATGCTATAACTTTTATAAGTAGATGTTATATATCCATAAATATGATAAAATGTAACGGATCGCTGTCCGTCCATAAAAGATATATGAGAAAAATATTGTGACTTTATGTAGCTTTATGTGGATCTATCATTTGATAGCAATACACATATGAATCGGTATCTTTTTTAGATCGTATTTTAGTGTATAAGAAAATGTTCAAACCAATCAAAAGTTAAAAAAGGGAAGACTCTTAACAACAACACCAATAAGAAATGTATTTAAATTTATTATACTTATTTTTGTCCTAGGTCTCCATAAATTTAACTTTTTATAAGACAATTGAAGTTCGCCTCAGATAATAAAACATTATTGAGAAAGAACAACTCTAAAATGTAATATAGTCATAAAACGTTAAGTAATAATGCTTAAATATAAAGATAAAAAAAAATATATAAAGATTCGCCTAAAAAGTCATTTAAATAAAATGAAATAGAAGTGCCGTCGTTAGGTTAATTATTATTTTTAGTTTACTTACCAAGTGCGTAATCACAAGATGGTCCGAAGAAAACATGTGTGCAATCATTATAAGCATCGATTGCTGATATGACAGCGTAGGCAGCGTCACAATCAGTGACATCATAAGTCAGCCATTCGAAATCCAACCATGATGGGAATGCATCACGTACAGCTTCATGTTGCAATGCCAATTGCAGCACCGGTTCAACCTGTAAATAAGTGGATGAAAATGAATAATTAATTTCCATATTAAAATATATAAATTAAAATCATTAACTTTAATATCTAAATGAATAAAACAATTGTCTTAAATTTGCCTCAACTTACAAATTAAAATTTATAAATTATGTTGCTATGTAGATAGCTATCAGAAAAGTACAACCATTGAAAATGTCACAATTATGCACATAAAAAGCATAAACAGTGTTTACAAAAAGATGAGAAAAATTATAAAAAGCATACAAAAGTGAACATTTTAAACGCAATTTATATGCACAATGCATATATTTTAAGTTACCAAAATAAAGTGCAGAGCTTACGTATTGTACAACGAATGCAAAATGCGTGGAACCTCACTTCAATGTTAGTGACATTTTCAGATTCGTTAAAAAAATATCAAAAAAGTAACGATTCTTCCTTTTGCGGTTCACGGTACAGCTTGGCAATGGACAAAATTTTGATATGGAGAGATAGAATAGTAGATAAAGTGTTAGAATTATATTCAGGAACTATCCTTGTTTGGAACTACACTACTCAATAATGTACATTTCCTAAGTCTGTCGATAATGTATGATGCCATTTGGTTGTTGGCTTATTTAAACTATAAAATATTTATTAAACCAAAACAGTTTTTTGGATAGAAAATGACCAGGTTTACATTTAAACAAGTCTAATAACTTGATTTTAAAGTTATTATTTCAATTAATATTTTGAAAAGTTAATCAAAATACGTCACCAACTGTTGAAGTTTATTTTCAAGGTGTTGTCAAAGACCTCTTATTATTTGAAACAAAAATTACTTCCGTTTCTTTTTATAATGTAAAGAATGCATGTTAAGAATTCTCATAAATATATTTTTTTAATATTAACAGACTTTTAATCTCGTAGAATAATATTTTGAGTATACATATTGTAATTAAGTATAGGATTTCGGAATAAAACATTACAAAACCTAAAATTTTATATTGATATTACCTAAAGACACAAATCATCTATTACAAATTATCAAATAATTTAGTGTTTATAGTTTTTTATATAAATGTAAATGTTTAGTATGTGGAATATACATAAATGTAAAATATATTACTCAAACAATTGCGTCCTTAAAAGAGAAAAAAATATATATATCGGTGCTATCAGCTTTAATGTCGGATGTGACGTGAAAAAAACTCATTAGTATTCATGATTATTGTTAAAAGTAAAACGAAATCAAAGATTGTTTAAAAGGAGAATGTTTGAATCTTTATATAAATATGACGTCTGGACGGACGACATCAGAGTTCAGATAGTGCGGACCTTTAAAGATTGTAATTATGAAGAACCTTCGAGAAGTACCAGGAACATTAGAAAAATTGAAGTTTTATTTTAAAACATAATGGAACATACTAGAAGAAGTGACATTAGTTACGTCAGCGAGGCTGGCGTTTTTCTTTTTAAAAACAACGAATTTGTTATTAATCCGATATATACTTACAACTGGTAAACAAGCGTCATACGTCGTATTCTTTGGTAAGAGAAGTGCAGCTCGTATTTTGCAGTTCCCATGTTTATCACAAACGTTTTCACAGCCTCTTTCCCGCGGCTCCTCTCCCCGACAGTTCTGGCAGGTCACAAACGCCAACGGTACCAAAACAAACACCAACCACCACCCCATTTTAATGATAACGAACACTGTCCACTTAACTACATATTTATTTTTAATCACATCACATCACCTGAAACAAAATGAAATTGTTTTATAATTAAATTTAAAATGAATTTTAAAAATAATAAGTCATTTTGACTGTAATAATTTTTTACTTTTTCCTCCTTTTTAATCGGAGAGAAAATAAAAATCAAGAGAATATGGCTTAAATAACCTATTTACTTTGTTTATCTTTACAAGCTATCTTAATATATGTAACTATATGTATATATCACGTGTCATGTCGTTCGTCCGCGGTGTAATCCTAAACTTCTTAACCGATTTTAAATTAAATTTGCACACCGCGTGAAGTTTGATCCAATTCAAAAGTTAGGATAGCATACATCTTTATATATAGCCTCAATATTATTTTATTGAAAATCTGTCAACTCCAAAGGTTTTTAACAGACAGCGATAACAAAATATCGTAAAATTCAATTGGTTTCTACTTTTAAAATCTTTGGTGTTAGCATAGCCGTACACTGTTCTCTTTGGATTAAAGAATAACCGTTGTATTATGTATGATGTTACGTGACTCTGACTATAAATTTAGTTGATGTTAACATATATATTGTTTTAACACACTTTATACATTTCACCCCGTGACATGTTCATCCGGACGAAGTCGAGGGCAAAAAGTAGTATGTAGATATATTATTACATAAAAATTATTTTCACTACATAAATGAAACTTATTTAAAAACAAAGCTTACTATTATTATTAACGCTTATGAAAAATGTTTATCAAATACTTAGTAGAACAACTAGCATAGTCGATGTATGAAATCTTTTTAGGATCAGATGAAGCCTATAAAACTGATATAAGATAAATTATACGTGTTTCACTGTTTATACATTCAGACTAACATCCGTTTGTTCAGTCTTCTTCTCAAATATCGAAGAACTTGATATGTTTATATCCGAAATAAACAAGGAGATGAGATGTAACTGTTAATGAACAGTTAAAAATAAGTGTAAAACTCATTTCAAATGAATCACGTTTGATTAAAATTTAACGACAAAAATAAAAAGTTTTAGGATTTTGGTAAAATATATGCTAGCTTTATTACGACATACTTAAAAACGAATCGCGTAATAGTGTCAATTAAAAGTATTTGTAAAGAAATCTGAATTAGATATAAATATGAAAAAATAAATAAACTTATCACAATGTCTATATCTGAACAGTTACAAAGGTTAATTTAACAGCTTTGTGAACTGACAAGACAATCAAATCGAATTATATTGTCAAATTTTACCAACTCAGATGTCTGTTAACAACTTTGAGAATTTGAGTGTGAATCAAGTCGTAGCATAAATAAATAATAAATAAACTTCACTAATTAATTTTATCGTAAATCAAAGAAGCCCGAGTCAAATGTTTTCTGTGTCATATTGAACTTTGAGAGAGTGGAATCGTTATAAGATTGCGTAAATAGAGGGATTCGCTTAAAAACATAAAAATAATATGAACTAAAAATTTTATATCCTTTTTTTCCTAATTATTAACAATTCTGAAATTTCGTTGTGACAATTGTGAATCCTAAAATTTCAATTGATTAAAAAAACTCAAATGTTTGTGATGTTTACCATCCAATATATCAAAACTAAAACAATAGTAAAGAAAACAAATAAATAACTACGGAAACATATAAAACTTTAGCACCTATATCCTCAAGGGGACCATTAATAATAATTTTCGGAAATAACATAGGTTAGCTTACATAAATATACCCGGGGATGTAAATATTTAAACAAGACGAAAAGGGTTCTAGGGGTGAAATATTTTTCTGTTGGGGAAACTGTACTGTATAGAACATATTATATAAAAAAAATCTAATACATATAGAATCCAGCCCAAAACAAAAAACAGTTCCGTTCTCATACCACCTGACGAAAATCGATAAATTTCTTTCTGCATATGTAACCATTCAAAGACTATTATATCTATATATATAAAAATCAATGCCACTTTTCGTTGTAATTCCATAACTCAAGAACGGGCTCACCTATCCAAACCAAATGCTTAGGATTTGGTCGGCATATTTAGTAGATGGTTTATGTGAAGTTTGCACAAAATCGGTCGAGCGGTTCCTCATTTGTCACATTTTTTGTAATAAATGAATTCAATAGAAACTTTTTTCACAGAAACTTTTTTTAAGTTTTGTTGACAGGACAAGCACGTTGTTATGTCATTCATGCCGTCAATTCATTTTGGACGTGGTTTGATTAAATCATATTATCAGCGACAAATTTCTTTTCACATAATTGCATTTGCAGTGCATTCATACAAACGGTGAGTCCTGAATTTATGTATACTTTTCTAAGTTGCCGTATATGATTTCACATGGCATCATATGCGACAGCTTCTTGGGAATTTGTTTTTTTTTTGTTCTAATTTTTTTTTTTTCGATTTTTAAGCGAAAACATATGTGCATACGGGAAAAATACCACCAGCCAGACGAGCAAATATAGGTCGGCGAACGCGTAATGCAAATGATGTGGCATTACTAAGACGATCACAGACTGCAGATGAACGCGCACAAGCTAATGCATCGCAGCGTGAACGTAATGCACGCAATAGATTTGTTAACCCAGTACCTGTACTGAATCTTGCACGGCCATCACGAATACGTCGTGCTGTTTTGGCTGAAATGATGCGTGCTGCTTTTAATTACAACAGTCAGATTGATTATAGTATGTATGGATACATTGGAATGATGGACGCAATATGTCCACATTGTGATGCGGCTAACTTTCGAGGTGAAACACCCGGCATGTGTTGTGCTAATGGCAAAGTGAGATTGCCAGCATTAGAAACTCCACCCGAACCATTGTATTCATTTATTTTTGGGACATCGCAAGCGTCGAAGCACTTTCTGAGTCATATTCAACAATACAATTCGGCATTTCAAATGACTTCTTTTGGTGCAACTAAAATTATTAGAGATAATTTTATGCCGACGTTTAAGGTAAATACTTCAACAGGATTATTCCATGTTTGTATCAATCTGAAGCATAAAGTATATTTAAAAATTAAGATTTACCTAAAGATTTACCTAAAATTGTATACATGTTACAGATTCAGGGCCAGATTTATCATCAAGCTGGTTCGTTATTGCCATACCCCGACGCTGATCATCAATTTTTGCAAATTTATTTTATTGGTGATGAAAATCGTGAATTAGATCAACGTTGTGCAATTGTTTCGAATACAAGACGAGAAATTATTCGTGAGCTACAAAGGTTTTTCCATCAGCATAACGCATTAGTTCAATTGTTTAAAATTGCTCTCGATCGTATGCCAACTGATAATCAAAAAATCGTAATAAGAGCTGATAGAACACCTTTTGGAGAGCATGCAAGGCGATTTAATGCACCAACAATTGATGAGGTTGCAATTGTAATTCTTGGTGATCAGTTTCAATCCCGTGATATTGTACTTCATCGTAGAAATGAGCAATTGCAACGTGTTTCGGAACTTCATCGTAGTTACGATGCATTACAGTACCCAATATTGCATTGGAAAGGTGACGATGGTTACCATATCAATATACCAATGATTGATCCACGAACAGGTAAATAATTGACCTATTTTTAGTGTGTTGACATTTCATTTCTACAACTTTCTAAAGTCACATTTTGTAATTATTATCAGGTCTACATATACAGAAAAAAGTTAGTGCCATGAATTTTTATTCGTATCGATTGATGATTCGTCCACAAGAACAAAATTATATCTTAAAATGTGGTAAACTATATCATCAGTACATCGTTGATATGTATGCCAAAATAGAGACTGAACGTCTTAATTTTATTCGTTTCAACCAAGCAAAATTAAGATCCGAAGAATATATTCATTTGCAAGATGCGATAGCGAATGATGCTAATGTTAATGACATCGGACGTTTAACTATATTGCCATCTTCGTATATTGGTAGCCCACGGCATATGAACGAATATGCACAAGACGCAATGTCTTATGTACGAAAATACGGTCGACCGGATCTGTTCATTACATTTACATGTAATCCGCAGTGGGATGACATCAAGAACAATTTATTTGAAGGCCAGTCGACAACTGATCGTCATGACATTACAGCACGTGTTTTTCGGCGAAAATTGACAGCACTTATGGATTTAATTGTGAAATTAAGTGTATTTGGAGAGGTGCGTTGCCATATGTACTCAATCGAATGGCAAAAAAGGGGATTGCCGCACGCACATATATTAATTTGGCTGGTAAATAAAATAACTCCGGATCAAATGGATAACGTTATATCAGGTGAAATTCCTGATCAAACTGTTGATCCTGAGTTATTTGATGTTGTCGTTAAAAACATGATACATGGTCCGTGCGGTGAACTAAATATGAATTCGCCATGTATGATTGATGGAAAGTGTTCGAAACGATACCCAAGACAATTGACTTCAGACACAATAACGGGCAATGACGGATATCCGTTGTATAGACGTAGATCACCTAATGATAATGGCAAAACGGCAAACATTAGAATGCGTAACCAGGACGTTGAAGTTGATAATCGTTGGGTGGTTCCGTATTGTCCATTATTATCGAAAATATTCAAGGCTCATATAAATGTGGAGTATTGTAATTCAGTCAAATCCATTAAATATATTTGCAAGTATGTAAATAAAGGGAGCGATATGGCTGTTTTCGGTGTAGCTGGTGATAATAGAAATGATGAAATTACTCAGTATCAACTGGGGCGCTATATTAGTAGTAATGAAGCTGTCTGGAGGATTCTGTCGTTTCCAATGCACGAAAGACATCCTGTGGTTGTTCACTTAGCTGTGCATCTTGAGAATGGCCAACGTATTTATTTTAATGAAGCAAATGCATTGGAAAGAGCAGCACACCCACCAGCGACTACGTTGACAGCTTTTTTCAAATTATGCGAAACTGATACATTTGCTAGAAATTTGTTATATTCCGAAGTGCCTCAGTA